GTGAAGTAAAGTAGACTGCTCTCTATATTTCCTTCCATTGGCCAGATTATTTCAAGATCAAGAAGCTTGGATGACTATACCTACTAAAAGAGCTCCGATACTCACGTATGCCTTTTCACTATCTCAAAAATATAGCAAAATACCCAAACATAATTGAAATGCAGAAATACAATTCACTATTGCCCACTACCAGCAAACCAAGCAACTCAAATGAGCCTCTCCCCCCCAAAAAGATTTGTAACATGTGTTTGCTAACCCACCTTCGAAAAGTTACTTGTATTTTATTTTCCTAAAGGAACCTTCCTACAATTTTGGCCACTTACAAGGATAATTAACATCTCTAGTCAATTTAACAGGTTCCTTCTATTAAGATATTTAGGCCTCTGGACTTCCTTAGCTGATTTAGTTGATACAGTTATATAGGAAGCACTTTGATTTATTCCCTCAACACAACTGAAGTGCCATAGCCCTGGTCTACACTACGAGTTTAGGTCGAATTTAGCAGCATTAGATCGATTTAACCCTGCACCCATCCACACGACGAAGCCATTTTTGTCGATTTAAAGGGCTCTTAAAATCAATTTCTGTACTCCTCCCCGACGAGGGGATTAGCGCTGAAATCGACCCTGCTGGGTCGAATTTGAGGTAGGGTGGATGCAATTCGACGGTATTGGCCTCCGGGAGCTATCCCAGAATGCTCCATTGTGACCACTCAGGACTGCACTCTCAACTCAGATGAACTGGCCAGATAGACAGGAAAAGCCTAGCGAACTTTTGAATTTCATTTCCTGTTAGGCCAGCATAGCGAGCTGATCAGCACAGGTGACCATGGAGTCCCAGAATCGCAAAAGAGCTCCAGCATGGACCAAATGGGAGGTACTGTATCTGATCGCTGTATGGGGAGATGAATCTGTGCTATCCGAACTCCGTTCCAAAAGACGAAATGCCGGAATATTTGAAAAAATCTCCAAGGGCATGAAGGACACAGGTTATAACAGGGACCTGCAGCAGTGAAGCCTACCAAAGAACCAGAGAGACAAACGGCTGCTCCAGGTCAGAGCCCCAGACATGCCACTTCTATGATGAACTGCACGCCATTCTAGGGAGTGCCCCTACAACTACCCCACTCGTGTGCTTCCCTCTTCCCCCACCCCTCCCAGGCTACCTTGGCAGTTATCCCCCCATTTGTGTGATGAATTAATAAAGAATGCATGAATTTGAAACAACAATGACTTTATTGCCTCTGCAAGTGGAGATCAAAGGGGGGAGGGGAGGGCGGTTGGCTTACAAGGAAGTAGAGTGAACCAAGGGGGCAGGTTTTCATCAAGGAGAAACAAACAGAACTTTCACATCGTAGCCTGGCCAGTCATGAAACTAGTTTTCAAAGCTTCTTTGATGCACAGCGCGCCCTGCTGTGCTCTTTTAACCACCCTGGTGTCTGGCTGCGTGTAATCAGCGGCCAGGCAATTTGCCTCAACCTCCCACCCCGCCATAAACGTCTCCCCCTTACTCTCACAGATATTGTGGAGCACACAGCAAGCAGTAATAGCGATTGGAATATTGGTTTCGCTAACCAGGTCAGTAAACTGCGCCAGTGAGCTTTTAAACATCCAAAGGCACATTCTACCACCATTCTGCACTTGCTCAGCCTATAGTTGAACTGCTCCTTACTACTGTCCAGGCTTCATGAGCCAAGGGAGCAAGGGATAGGCTGGGGTAGGTGCAACCGTGCGGTGCTGCCGACTGGGAGAGCAGCCTGAGGCAGAAGCCTCCAGCTGGCATGATATTCCAGACATGATTGAATCTCCATTAGACGAAACTTAAATAAGAGAATGACCTGGAGTCATTCCCATTTTTGTCCGGGTGCCCTTGACCGACCTAACCGAGGTCGGCCAGGAGCACCCACGGGACGATGATGACGATGGCTAGCAGTCGTATTGTACCGTCTGCCATCCGCAAGGCAAGGCAAAGGGATGCTGCTGTGTAGCACTGCAGTACCGCGTCTGCCAGCAGTACCCAGGAAACATACGGTGATAGTGAGCTGAGCGGGCTCCATGCTCGCCGTGGTATGTTGTCTGCACTGGTAACCCAGGAAAAAAGGCGAGAAACCATTTTTTGCCATTGCTTTCACAGAGGGAGGGGGGCCTGACGACATGTACCCAGAACCACCCGCGACAATGTTTTTGCCCCATCATGCATTGGGAGCTCAATCCAGAATTCCAATGGGCGGCGGAGACTGCGGGAACTGTGGGATAGCTACCACAGTGCAACGCTCCGGAAGTCTACGCTAGCCTTGGTACTGTGGACGCACACCTCCGACTTAATGCGCTTTGTGGGGACACACACAATCGACTGTATCAAATCTATTTCTAAAAAATCGACTTCTATTAAATCATCCTAATTTCATAGTGTAGACATACCCTTAGAAACAGTTTTTCATGTAATGATTTCGGCTAATTTTTAGATATTCAAATAAGTTTTTTAAAAGAATATAGACTTAAGATTTTTTTTAATTTACTCTCATTATGTAGTATATGATATCTATTTAGCTTGTCAAATAAGACTAAGAACCCTCCAGGTTACACACTGTACACAAAGAAAACATGTCTGATATTAAGAGGTTCTAACTAGGGGAAAAGGAACAACAATATCCAATGACAGGGGTTTATGTTAAAAAAACTCAGATTGGAATAAGGTGCTCCCGTGAAGGTAATTAACCTTTGGAACAGGTTACCAAGGGATGCCGATGCTAGAGTTAGTAATGTAGTGGGGGTGCAATAGTTCCAGTTACAACAAATCAGCAGCTAATGTGATCACTCTGCTAAGCTAGTCATTCTGTGTAACTCCAGGGCCAGGGCCGGCTTTAGGCCGATTCCACAGATTTCCCTGAATTGGGCCCCGCCCCTAAGAGGGCCCCGCACCCAAGCCCTGGTACAGCGTACTGGCAAGAGCCAGTGCACCGTACCAGGGTGGCCTGGATTCCCCAGGGGGCAATTTAAAGGGCTTGGGGCTCCCAGCAGGGGAGCCGCTTCCCCACGGCTCCCGTGGCTATTTAAAGGGCTGGGACAGTAGATGGCAGGGGGCTCTAGGGGCTATTTAAAGGGCCAAGGTTCCAGCTGCCTCTGCTGCCCTGGTCCTTTAAATAGCCGCAGGAGTCCCGCCGTTTCCCCAGGGCTCCCTCAGCTATTTAAAGGGCCGGGGCGGTAGAAGCAGGGGAGCCCCTGGCCCTTTAAATAGCCCCCAGAGCCCTGGGGTAGCAGGGGGGCTCCAGCTGCCTCTGCTGTCTCGTCCTTTAAATAGCCCCCGGAGCCCTGCCGCTTCCCCAGGGCTCCGGCGGCTATTTACAGGGCCGGGGGGTGGAAGCAGGGGAGCCCCGGGCCCTTTAAATATCCCCGAGCCCCGGGCTGCTGCTGCTACCCCGGTGGGGAGGGAGGAGGAGGGGGCACTTACCGTACACTTACCCTGCCCCCGTACTCCCTGCCCGCAGCCAGCCCCTGCTGCACCCCTGCCTGCAGCCAGCCCTGCACCCCCTGTCCTGCCTGCAGCCAGCCCCGCACCCCTGCCCTGTCTCTAGCCAGCCCCGCACCTCCTGCCCTGCCCGCAGCCAGCCCCTGCTGCACCCCTGCCTGCAGCCAGCCCTGCACCCCCTGTCCTGTCTCCAGCCAACCCCCCTGCCTGCCGCACCCCCCTGCCTGAAGCCAGCCAGTCCTGCACTCCTCTGTCTCCAGCCCTGCCAAACCATGCTGTACCCCCTTGTGCCCCGGCCTCAAGCCAGCCAGCCC